TCTTCTCCCAAGTAACTAGTGATAGGACGAGAGGAAATGGCCTCAGGTTGCGCCAGGGGAGGTTTAGATACCTCAATGATTCTATGAGTCTATGATTTACTGTAAGTCATTGTCCTAGTGACTTAAAAGTACATAGTGTAATCAGTGCAGGGTCAGGGTAACATGACTCATTTATCAGCGGTGCTGAAGAGACGCCCTGACTCCTCTCCCACAGGCTCAGCTGCTGAACTGGAGAAGAGGCAGGGATAGATGTGGGAGGTTTAGTTACCTGTCACATTGCTAATGCCAAGTCCTCACTGGAAATGTTTTCTTGTTTTAGACTTCTTGGCGATGCTCCCACACCTCAAAATGCTGGCTCTACTGGCACTAAACCTGCAGCCTCTGTTTTTAACACACCTATGTCGTGCAAGTTTCAAGGTGGTGCAGAAGATGACACGGATAGTGAGAAACCCAGCCTCAGTTCCTCTGCTAAGGAGGCATAAATGTCTCTTCTTACATGGAAAAACCTATGCAAATAAACACTCTGTGCAAGCTCCCTGGCTGCGTGTGGAGACCCTGCTATGGCTTAGCAATGATTTCTGCAAAAGCTGTGGTTAGCAGGGCAGTTGTACTGTGCTAAAGATGGAGTGACATCTGTGAGCTTTCTTCACTACCAAACAGCAGATACCTAACTTGCTGGAAAGTGGCATCTCCATTAAATGAGAGCAGAATGCAGGTAGGGGTCCTGAACTTATCTCGCTTGTCTTCTAAGTGAAGCTGTCTCTCCTCTGACCCACAATAGCCAAATCTTGAAACACATTAAGTATCTTAATTCCCTCTACCTTCTGCAGAAATTGGGTGCCTAAGTATCCCTTAGATTCTGTGCTTTACTTGCTCCTGCCTAGCATGGATTTGAATCAACAACAAAGCAAAAAAGAACTTTGCATCACGTGGTTGGTTGTCCTTGCTTTGCTACTTGCCCTTCTAGCAGATGACTCTAGCATCCTTGCTTCCAGCTGCTTGCTACAGTTCTTGTCAAAATATTAACACAGGGAATGTTATGTGGAGAGTAGGACTGGGGCATTTGGAAGACCCCAACAATTAATCTCCCTCGTAGCCAGAAGCGGAGCGGTAGATTCATCCAGAAGTTCAGGTCAAAAATTTAGTGTTCTAGTCTGGGCAAGATTCTGTCTTTTACTCCATAAATGGTTTAATATGTCTTACGTTACCACCCTAAGGATCAACAAAAAGTGGTTACCCAGTAGTGATGGATCTCCTGTTAGGAGTGTGGAAAATTACATCTATTAATAGCTTGAGATTTTCTCCTGAGGGAGACCTATTGTACAGATTTAATTGTATTTCTCTCAATTCATCAGCTGTTAGTAATTACATCCTGCATTTTTGCTATAGAAAAAATGAATCTAAACTGGCTATTAAGACTGTACTTAAATAAATCATAGGAGGGAGAGGAAATTACAATGCAAATAGTATCAGTCTTGTAAACAATTTTAATTCACTACTTAGCTATTCATTAATTAAATAACATCTTCAAAAAATGCATTCTGGAAAATGTAGCAGCCACACTGAAAGCAGTGCTGGTCAGTTTAGCTTAAAGTAACCGATATATAATTTTTAAAGGGTTCAGATAGTAAGCAGTTTAGCTTGTCAACCAACAGTTGACAGAAATGCTGACTTCCCCTCCTTGCTAGAAGACGTCAGCCTTATAGTCTGTGCTTTCAAATAACCTGTTACAAGAGCAGTGTTCTTGTTCAGCTTCTATTTTGAAACTTTTTTTTTTAATGACAGCTGCAGTTCCTCTTGCCTCCTTTTCCTCTTTGCACACTCCACAGTTGACCTCTAGTGGTATTGGATCTTCCAGCAGATACCATGGTTTTCCACATTGCCCTCCTGTGCTATAGCCTCAAGTTACTCAGTCAAAATCCCTGTCCCTCATTCTTCTCTGGGGACAATTATAAGAAAGGTATTTTGTTCTCAGATACAGTAGTCTGATTATCCTGTCACAGTGAATAAAAAGGAAAGGCACTGTTTACAATGGCAAGGTAAGGCAGAAAAGTACTTCTTTTCATCATCATCCTGTTTCCTGGTAAGTGGAGATGGTTTCAATGGAGAAAACTGGTCAGGCTGACATGTGCAAGGCTTGCTGCCCTCTTCTGGTGTCATCAGGGCCATGCATTGGATCTCACAGCTGCCTCTTAGATTGAGGTTTTCACCTTTTGACATGATGAGTCCTGCAGGAGTGGAGGGAAGAAGGTGCTTTATAGATGGAATTGATTATTTTAAACAACAGTGTTTTGATTAGGATTAGCTGGATCAATTCAACAGGCACAGCTTTTGAATTGTCAGTTGCAAAGGCAACAGTGCTGATCAGGTTCTCTGAATCTGCAGAGGATCCCTTGTAGCTTTCAGATTGTGACAAATGGATTGGAACTCAACACTGCCGAGTCTTCTGGCTACTCTTGCCCAATTTTCTGGGAGCGTTAGCACTTAGTATGCTTTTTGTTTATGATCATGGGAAACAGTATCATGGCCCATCAGAGCATTAGGATGGGCCTAATCATCAGTTACAGATGAAAAATTACAGCCACGTTTTGGCGCACATTGTGGGAACATATTTTTAGTCAGCACATCTCAGTCTCAGCATTTGATGGGAACCCATCATCTCCCCCCGTAAGGTACTAGGGAAGGTACTCGCCTTGTAGAAACAATTTTACTCCTGATAGCTACTGAAGCTCAGCTTGTTGGGTCATGTGCAACAATCAAAGGCAGCAGCTCTCCACAGCGGGAATTCAGTTTTAAGGATGCAAAGTGATCTAACCTTGTGGGCCCAATGTTAAGGATTGCAATTGGCAGCCGCTTCTCCCGGGCAGCGAGAGCAAACCTGTAACCAGAGTACACCTGCAGGAATACCAGAAGACAAAGTTACTGGCAGCTTAGGCAAAAGAAGAGCTACAGAAAGGAGTAAAGAAAGTAAAATAGTTGCGGTTGGCAGTGGGAAAAGGGGCTGTATGTACATGCTGTGTTAGGCAACTACGCTTAATTCAGGTAGAATATTGCTTCATTCAGGAGTGCACAGAAAAGAACAGTTTTTAACCTCTGTCAGTGAGGGATTTGCGGTTTCACAGAAACTGAAACTTCATAGTACATTGAAGGGAAATGTCCTTGTCTTTTAGCAAATCTCTGCAGCAGTTTTTGTTAGTTATCATAGGTACTTAAATGCTTCTACTTTGATGGTTCTCACATGGCCCAGCTTAGGTAGTACAAGAATGAACCTGAGGCATTTCAATCATTCCTGTACAAAGGATTATAAGCTTAAGAAGTGCAAGCTCAAGGAATTTGTCTCCAGTATCCTGAAGCCAAGAGAATCACAATCGGGCAGCCTTGGTTTTTATCTTGTTCTGGGAGGCGTTAGGTTTTTTTAATGTAATAGAACTTGTTCCTGGAAAAATTTCTCTTATACAAACTCTACTCCAAAAGCTTCCACGGGTTAAACAACAGGGGTTTCTAAACTACCTTACCTCATAGATAAGAGGCTAATGGAGAAAACACATTGTGATACAAAGGACAATCCTAAGCAGCAACCAGAGATATTTCTGCTCTCTTCTTCAGAATTTAATCAGGAATTAGAGGTCCTAAAATCTGGTATTTCACAGTGTGCCATGAGGCCTAGAAAGCTGCCAAAGGCTGAAAAATTCAAGCAAAAAAATGTGGGGTGGTGATCTCTGCAGGACTGAATTGTATCAGGTATCTTGGCTTTATGGGCAACTGCGAACCTACAATGTACTGATGGAGGAGGTAGCAGAGAGAGGTCTGAATATATGAATGAAGTTAGTTATAGCAGCATGAAGTAGACTGGCAATAATAGAGTGACAGGGAAGCCCAAACAGGCCAACTGTGAAGCCAGGTTCCAACCACAGTAAAAATAAAATACAAAGAAGCTCTGGAGAGGCCGTTTTGATCCACAAGCAATTAGTAGTCCTAAATTGTGGGAACAAGGATTGTTGCAGGCAGAGTAGCACAGAAATAGGAATGCAGTGTGGGAGGAAGACCTACTTACCTGCATAGAGGATCCTGCCACCAGCATGGAATCTGATTCCGCCAGGCGTTGGTGCACAAAATTCACTTTTTCCTGGCTCACTGTGTCTCCAAAGAATGTCACGTCAGGCTTCAGGATTCCACCACATTTATGGCAGGCTGGGACTTGGAAATTACACACCTGCTCATCCGTCAGGAAGACATCCCCATCCGGAGCCACACCAAATGCTTCAGCTTTCCAGGTAGGATTCAGAGCTTCAAAGTGCTCCTGAAGCTCAGAGCGCAAGATTTGGTCTCCACAGGCCAGGCAGAAAACCCTGAAATTCAGAGCAAAGTCTTAATGGAGAGTTTCATGTCAGCTGAAGATCTGGAGTCTGTAACTTATTCCTTAGAAGGCCTGGAAGGTCTGTTGTCATTATCCACACTTATTTACCAAATAGTACAGGTCAAGGAGCTGTCTTTCTACCTCCAATTGTTGCTTTGTAGAATGCTCTAGAGGAAGTGTTTTTACCTCTCTCCCAGTTCAGGCTGTGCTTTTTCATCTGGAAACTTTGGGTGATCACAGCCAGACTGTGGTGGTCCCTCTCCAGTCCACTCACCTTGTGCGTGTCTGACACTATCCCCTCTGCTTAGCCCTGGATAATCCTTGCATTCTCAGGATCCCTTTGTCCTCTTCACTAAGAGGACATTTGCTGTAGCAAGGAAAGGGGGAATTCTGACTGATGCAGGCTCCAAGGGAAATGATCCAAATAATGCTCCGATAAAATGGAGTGGTGTTCATGTTTCTTAAATACTGTGCTGTGAACAGCACTGTTTTGTGATCTTTTCCTCCACCCCAGCCCAACACCACCTTTGAGCATGTCATCTCCAGGAACATAGCATCGACATTTTGCCTCCTTTCTCAGCAGCTAACACTGCACCTGCTTGTCAGTCACCCTGAAAAACAGACCGGAGGATTAACCATCCTCCCTCTGCCAACAGAGAGTACCTGTGCGTGCAGCCGTGCAGTTCTGTCATGCGCTGGCTCCCGGCTTTGGTGTGAAGGGCATCCACATTCTGGGTCACCAGCCAGTGCAGCTTCCCCAGCTTCTCCCAGTCTCTTAGTACCAGGTGTGCTGTGTTTGGCCGGTGGGAGGAGAACTGGGGCCAGCCCACAAAGTTCCTTGCCCAGTACCGCTGCCGGGCACTGGCACTACGAACGAACTCAGCGTGCTGGATGGGCCGTCTGTCTGTCCTAGCGTAGAGCCCGACACCTTCAGAGCGGTAATCTGGGATCCCTGATTCAGTTGAGATTCCAGCTCCAGTCATTACAAACAGCCTCTTGGAGTTAGAAACAAAGCGCTGCAGCTCCTCTACTTCCACAGGATCTGGGGGAAGACAGGCTGGCACGAAAGCCAAGTTTGGAGAGGTCCTGGATACAGAATGGCATCTGAAATGATGGAATCTGATGGCTCTGCAAACTCCTGACAACTTCATGGCAGAGAACATGTTCAGCTAAAAGCCAAGAACAGAACACGTGGCAGGTGAAAGAAAGCAAAGAGCATGTCCTTAATTTCATTTTCTTGGGATTCTCTGGAAAATGATGCTGATAAGTATTCTTTGCTCTTTTTTCTTTTTAGTAAATAAACACAAATTACTTTGGAAACGTTAACTAAAGCCCACCGTCTGAGGACAGTGCTCGTATGTCCCTTTCACAGAGGGTAACACTGAGAACTGCTCAAGGTACAAGGACAAAGTTAGGACCCCTGACTTGCAGGATTCCTGCTCTTCTATCCTGGTGTGAAGGATGGCTGCCTAAGAGGACTTCTAAAGAGCCCAGAAAGACCTAAGCATACAAAGTCTTTCCCAAGTATGTGCAACAGGGCAGAGAAGAAATGGCAGGGAGGCCAAGCACCCCACCCCAGAGGCACTGTCCATCTGGTTCCTCCCCAGAAGAGACCCTTGTTCTGCTTTCTTTAACATTCTGCCTGCTCCAAATCAGTCCTTTCTATTTACCCCATCCTTTGCACGTGTTGTGGGAAGGGAGAGAAAAACAACCTTGAAATGTTGCTCTTTCAGGACAAAGGCTTTGTCTGGAGTTACTCCTGTTTTTTTTATAAAGGCCTGGTGCAGAACAGGCCTTGAAATGGGACTGAAGATGATTAGGACACTGCCTAAGTGCCTCTGGCACCTCCTCCTTTGTGGGTGCCACCTCCCCAGAGTCAGTGGAGAGGTGGAGGGGTACTGCTTTGCTTCTCCAGCAGGAACCAGGGGGCTTGGAGAGAGAATGGCTCACCCAAATGTGGGGGGAGCAGAAACAACTGCCTGGCAGGTAGGAATAGGAGGGATATCCTGCTTTAAGGGAGGAACGGCATGCCCTGTTGGGGACAGGTGGGATAGCTTTGCTGACAAGTAGCCTGGAATTGTGTGCAGGACCTGTTGTGACAGGAGTGGATTGGTTTGGACCTTGATCTTGTTTGGTCCTTCTAGCAGTCTGTCGTTCTCCCTTCTCCATTATCACTACTTTATTTTTTTCTGGGCCACTCTATGGTTTTGCATACAAAGTACAAAAAGTTTTGAAAGAAACAGTACTGAGAATTGACTGACTGGTATTTCTCCCTACCACCATCTCCCTTAGCAAGGGGGCTTGTATGAGATCTGGAAGATGGAGGAAGGGCTTTAATTACTGATAAAAGGGGATGATCTCTAAAGGGTGATTGCAACAGGCCCCAGATAGTCTGGTGCTTAAAGCTTGCTTGGTAATGGACACCTGGATGCAGATTCATGCCCACTCACACTTCTGCCCTCACCACCAGAAATTACTGGGAGGACACCTAAGGGTCTGGGTCTCACTGGGAGTCCTCAGCCGGCTGGAGCAGATCCCTTTCGGGTGTTACAGGCAGTGGTTTGAGGGAGGGCTCTGTGCAGCTTGTTCGCTGTCAAATGGTTAAAGCATGTGGGCAGTTTCATAAATGCTGCCTACAGGAAACTTGCAGCACCTACGAGATCTGTGGCAGCTCTGAGAAGTCAGAGGTATTCAAGCAGTGAGCTTACTTGTCTAAAAGGCTGGCACCTAAGTACTTTTGATGACCTGTGCTTCAGTGCCTGGGTGGTTTTTAGATTCCTGCTGCATCTAAATTGCTTTGCCTCAAGTCCCCAGTCCCCCTCGAGTACCAGTTCTTACAGTAAATGGAGCAATATTTAAATACATTTAAAGTTTGGGTGTTCAGCCGTAAGTATCATGATAGTAAATTGATGCTCGAGGCAAAGAGTAGATTTGTCTCAGTTAATCTCCAGTTCTCAAGGCTTTGCATCGTCAGTTGAATTACAGGGAAGACGGGACTTCCTCCATAGTCTGAATTACTTTTTGAATCTAAGCAGTGGATTCTGTTCGCAAGGATTTTTGCCTTGTTATGTTGTTTAGCAGGAGTTGTGCTGGGCATTCCCTCTGAAGAGGTTTAATTTTCCATATGAATTAATTAGAAGGGACAAAGTCCCCCAATAAACTGTAATTTGCTTTGAGAATAACTTCGGTCATGATGCTCCCCAAAGGCTGTTAAGCCAGCCTGACACTATTTAAATTGCTTTAACTGATGAAAAATCTCCATTCCTGTCCCTTATCATCAAAAGCTCTCTCAGAAGGAAATGTTTGGGGAGGGAATGAAATGGAGATATAATATGGGTTGGCCCACGGGAGAGAGAAGGTGATGGGTGGGCCCAGCATTAAAAATAACAGATACATTTGAGAGCCGCTGTGAAGCGTAGGAGTAGGACAGTGTAGGAGAGAAACTTACAGAGTATTTCCCGTGAAATGCAAAGCTGCTTTTAAAATTAAAGTGCTCGGATTAAAAAATAACAACTACTATACATAATAAGTGAAACTCTTTAAACGTACCTACCGAGATCCGAGGCTAGAGTTTGCTTTTAACGCGTATCCAAAATGCTCCACGGAAAGAGGTCAGACAAGTTTAAGGTAGGAGATAAACAGCTTTCTACAAATGGTAGGGAGGGACCCCACGTCATCCGAGTCTCTTTTGCTGTAATAATGACGCGGGGAAGGGGAGGGTAACAGCCGAACCGGACGCATCTAATGAAATAAGAGCGATACGGTGAATAATGCCTGAAAACTTATCTTTCATAATGCTGCCGTGCCCGACCGCGGAAGGAAAGGGCTGGCCTGCCGGGAGAGGAGTTTTCTGGGAAATGTAGTTCAAAGGAACTAAGCCCCAAGCACAAAGACTACAATTCCCGTGCTTCAAAGAAGGGAAAAAACCGAGTTCCTGACACCTGATAAAGGCAAATTGAAAACACGAAGAGCTTCATAGCTGCCCTCAAGGAAACATGCAAGAATAAAATCAGATTTGATTTGATACAAATGCAAGTAATAGCTTTGATAAAATGCATTGTAGATGCTTGTCCTTATAAAAGCATGCATTTTCTTTTCACTGATACTAATAGGTTTTAGGCCTAAAACGTGACTAAACAAATAACGGAAGAAAAAACCGCTGAGGGCTGTTCAAGATATCTCTTCTCGCTCAGGAATTCCCCGAGATGTAAAGTGTTGGAGGCTCTGAGAGTACACCGGGCTGATACGCTCGCCCTGTTCTGGCACTCTTCCTTTGGTACCTGCATTTGGCCCCGGGAGAGATGGACCTGTCTGGCAGTTCGGATGTTCATAGTTAAGCACATCTGTGACGACAGGAAAAAGGTTTGGCAGAAAGATGTGGAAAGGGCCTGTGGCAACAGGAGTGGACAAATAATGAAAAACTGGTCCATTGTGCTGCAGTTAGTGTGGCCAGATAAAACCCAAGAGGTCAGCGTGGGCCAAGTGATCTCTGACCAACTTTCGGAGGAGGCACGGATGAAAAATGAGAGGGCGGTTGTTTGATCTGGCTGAACCTCTCCCAGGGCATCGTCTGACACCCTAAGCCACTTCAGTATTAAATTCTTTGCCACCAAAGGGCTTGTACCGGTCGTGCAGTTCACCGACTCCTTCCTGGGCTCAGTCTACCGTTTGCCTTACCCGTTCCCGATTTGCTGGAGTGGGCTGCTGCTGGCTTGGGGAGCGGACTCAGTGAAACCTGACAGCTGGCGGGGGGGAGCAGGGAGCGCTGGGGTGGCGGGACCGCCTGGCAGCGGGAATGAGCTGGTGGATCGGTGCGACTCATCTTTGCAGGACCGCACCAATTGCTCCCGCCCCTCAGCGCCTCCTTAGCGGCAGGGATTTCTTCCAGCGTTTTCCAGTTGATCCAGCAGATCCTCCTCTCTAAGCATGGAGCGGGCAGGGGTGGCTGCTCGCGGTGATGTCTTGGAGTCCTTGGGTGAACGTGGTCCGCGGTGCTCTGCAGAGCTGACACCACGCAGCTGGTTTCCAACCCCAGGGCCGTGCTGACCTGCCTGCTCCCTACCCCGTGCTCCCCGGCAGGAACTGATTGTGCCTCTCTGCTTGGTGCGGGTGGCAGTCTCGATAATCGCATGATAAACTCTACAAATTGCCTGGCAATAAGAGGTTTGTTTTTTTTCAAAGGAGTCTTACTTTTTTTTGAAGATCAAATAAATAGGAGGAGGTCCAGACTGCTGCACGGTAGCAGCCTGGTACTAGATGCCCACCTATTTTACACACCGTGGGCTCTTTCTAATTGGACTGCTTTTCGAATGCGTTCTCCAAATAGCTCCTGCTCATTAGTTCAAGACATGGCAGGAATTTAAAAGCCGTTTTTCTTGCCTTTTACAGTTATTTCAAAGCCCAGAAGAGCCCGAGCGCGTATATAGCAACGTGTAATTTTGCGATCAGAAGGGAAAAGCGCATCCTGCTCGCTCGGCGACTGCTTTTCGAATGCGTTCTCCAAATAGCTCCTGCTCATTAGTTCAAGACATGGCAGGAAGCCGTTTGCCGTTTTTCTTGCCTTTTACAGTTATTTCAAAGCCCAGAGAGCGCGTATATAGCAACGTGTAATTTTGCGATCAGAAGGGAAAAGCGCATCCTGCTCGCGGCGGTGGGGTGCCAACCCCGCCCATCCCTGCCGCCCCGGTGCCCTGCGGCGCTGTGGGGCACGACCCTCTGGTGGTGCCCCCCCCGCCCATCCCTGCCGCCCCGGTGCCCTGCGGCGCTGTGGGGCACGACCCTCTTTTCGGCAGTTTCGTGAGTCTTAAATGACTGTTGGGCCGTTAGCGCGCGTTTTAAGAGTGTAAACGTGATTTCAAATCGTTGGGTGGTGACTTTGCTTCGGTGCCACCGGGGTGGCGAGGGCAGCCCGGGCCCGGCAAACCCTGTTTCCCCCCGGGGCTGGGGGGGGATGCGTCTGTGCCCCGGCTCGGGCCCTCGGCGGCGGGACAGCCCCTTCCCTGGCGCTCATTACCATAGCGGCCTCCCGGCACCCCC